CCCAAGCAAGTCAGCCTTGCTTAGAACCAAAGATGTCGGTAAAATGTCAACAGGGCTAGTTGATGGTTTAACCCTGCCCATTAGCGTAATCACATCCTGAAGTGTAACAAGAGTGAAGGATGACCAGAAACCCACACAAGATACTTCCGTATTAACACTCACCAGGCTAGGATTAATGCTGGCCCTGATATCTCATATTTTATCCATGAAGAAGTTCAAAAACACATTACAGTCCTCTGCCGTATGAACAGGAACTTGGGGAACTAACTGTAACCACAAGACAGCTGTGGCAGTCCTGTTTCAGTTAAGATTAGAACTTCCTTAAAAGAGAGGTATATGTTTCAACACTCTCAAATTTAAAAGCGGAAATAAAAGGTTCCAGATGAAGTTTCACACTTCTGTGTGTGTGTCTCTTAGAGGAGAGATACCACCAGAAGGGGCTTTTGACTGCAGAAGGCTCATTATCACAGTGAACGTATAGTATCTTGTCAGTTTGATTCACTCTCACTGTGGATACTAAGTGTCAGTGAGGGCACCCATCACTGGCCAAGCGCATCTACACACAGCTGGTGGAGAAACTTTGGTTTGTTTGTTCCAGTCTTGCACTTAAGGTAAGGGAGGTTCAACTCAGTCAGTGGTATCAACTTTAAGTTGATTCTCTTTGTAAAAGTCCGTTTATTAATGAAATGTTGTAGGTTTTTTTCTTGTATTTGTCTTGACTGTGTCAGGGAGGATTCAGTACAAGATGATGCACAAAACAGTTGCCTTTTTTCCAGTTTATTACTAATATGTATGTTAACAAATTGTTCAGAAATGGTTGGTGCATAAAGGTGCCTAAAGTGGACAGGACAGTGCTAAGTGGGCAGAAGTGAAGGACACGACTTGCAGACTTGATCACTTGCAGACCTTTGCCCTGTTCAAAAGATTAGTTTCCATTTTATTTTTTACATGTTCAACCCACATTCACAAGCAGTGTAATAACAAGGGGTCTGTTCCAGAGAAGGTGTTAAGTGCTGTCTTAACAGTAGTAATTCATTAATGTTTCCTCCATTACAGCCATAATTGATCACAAAGGGATTAATGACTTGAAGGCCTCATTACAGCAGCTGGTGCCATTTTCCTCTCCATCTCTAGAGGGCGCACAATCCCAGGCAGGTTGATAGGGATGCAGGAAGGCAGCTGGAGACAGTGGGAGAATTAACACATCTGACACAAATTACTATTCTATGATGGAATTTTTAGAAGGAAGCCGTCTGTCATCTGGATCAGCCTGATGCAATCGTACAAGACAAGAGATGGGAATTTAGATGACTAGACAAAGATATCTAGCGCGGCTCTAGCAGTCAGACATGACTGACAATGAATGGAAGCTTATAAAGCAGAAGTTCAGCTCCACAGGGGGTCCAGAGGTTTTCTTTGTGTCCTGCTGTCACATTGGCCTGCCTCCCAGGCTAAGTCTTTTCTTGTGCCAACTGCTAGTGTATGAAACCTTGAATTTAATGAGAAGTAGGTAAAATCAGGAAAATGTTTTCAAAGCACCCAGTTATCTGAAAATATCATGCAATATTATAATATACTCATATGTAAATATACATTTTATAAAGGGGGGTTTCCAGGAAAACCAGTGGTTTTTTTTCCTTGGGGGGGTCCCATTGCTATTTTGAGTTTAGAGACATATTTAAGTTGAGTGCAGCTGGCAGGAGACCCCAGGTAGTTTTAGACTAACAAACTAGCATCGTTTGTCTTTTGTGGTCAGAAGAAGGAAGCGCTGTAGCAAAAGCCACCATGACACCATGATAAAGATGCAGTGATGGGCGATACGAGTATAACACTGTCTCTCTCTCACTCACACACACACACACACACACACACACACACACACACACACACACAGTGATACTAAACCTCATTTTAAAACTGTTCCCATCATCTCTCCCTCCAGATGTGTGCACTGCAGCTAATGCTGGTGAGCCCTTGTGTGTAGGACTGGAGAATGGGCAGTCCCACTGCACACACAGGACTGTTCAGCACAGCAAGGTAGGAGGAGGGTGCAAGAGTGTGTGCTCCAAAAAAGTGTTTCTGTTGTGTCATAGCCATCCACATACAGTATCCCTCTCTGCTTCAGGTTTTGTTTGAGCCATGTATGTGTTTGTTTGCGCCCACTCTGTGTCAGCTGCAGGGCTGTCAGAAACCAGACTGGCATCCGTCCTTAGCGTTACCATAATTAGGATACTCCATCATAGCCACCGGTATAAACACAGCTTATTACTGTCATGCAGACAGGATGCAGACTGAGAGAAGAGGCTGTGTAGTGTCCCACTGCCGACAACACACACCCACACCCACACACATACATTCCTGGGGCAAAGCCATATATCTGTGAAGGAGATGATAGGCTTCTCTCATCCACACCTTCACTCAAACATACATATATATCATAACAGTAAGAGCTTCATGTTTCAGGCAGATTGTTTTTTCTCACCAAGTCCTGTGTTGTCTAGTTACCCTGTCGTTACTACAACTCTGTTCCAAACCAGTTTGCAGGAATAGCTCCTCTATAAATGTGCCAAATTATTGTCCTTCATGATCTATGATAGATTGCATTGCTAAGTCTGTCCTCTTGTCTTTGAGTATCCGGTCAGGTTTTTGATATGTAAACCAACTTTAATGAGCTCATTAAACTGAGTGTGGGCCCGTCCCTCTGGGAATCGCGCCTCAGCACTGTGCTAATGTAATGTATGGTGTTTATTGAGGGCAGTCACTTTATTGAGTGTGTGTGGTCATTACAAAAATCCATGTGTTAACAATGCAGACGTGGCTGGAAGCAGGTGAGCGGATATGTGTATGAACATTCTGTACATGTTCACCTTCTCTTGCATAATTCAGCTAATGTTTGTGAAGCATTGTGAGTGTGTGTTTGGCCCACTTTTACCAACCCTGCCTGATATGTAATATGGGCTAAATGAAAAAGGTTTTGCTCATTTCATCAGTGACTCATCAAGGGTAAATCTAGGCCAAATATCCAGAAACCATCACTAAATGCTGTGACTGCCATGGCTTCACTCTGATGGCCTGTGTCAGAAGATGCCATGCAGCATTTGACCTGAGGTCAGCCAGGAGGTGGATTAGAGAGGACAACTTGCCCTCTTGTCCTCTATCTCTTCTGGCTCTGTTCGTCTCTTTTTGTTTGCCTGGCGACAAGCGTCAGTCCCACTGTGCTGGGATCTGCACTGCACCACCGCTGCTGTTGCTGCTCAGCTCCCCACCATTTGTCTTTTACTGAGTGGAAGATAGGTGTGTGTGTGGGTGAGAGAGTGAGGTTTATGAATGTGTGTGCTTATGTCAGTGCAAACATGCATATTTGAAGCACAAAAGGAAGAAAAGCTCTCTCCTTCCATCAGACAGTGTAAGCCACTGTCAAGGCAATTGGAAAAAAATAACAGGGTGAGCCATGGGAGCTGGTAAATCAGATTTTCGCTGACATGAATAGCAGAATTTAATCACAGCACGACCGTCAGTTTGTTCCCTGGAATGAGGAGAAAGAAATTGAGTTACCGGATGGAAGCTCCACTGTGTATTAGCACATGGGTGCATACATGCATGCACACAGCATCCTGAAAGTCAGTAGAGATGGATGGAAGGAAGGACTAATTTCAAACCTCTTGTCACACCTTGTAATCGGCTGCCCCACTAGACTGACTATCTTTGATTAATTGGTTGCATTCCAATTTGTGCTTATTACACAAGAGAGATTTGTGCGCGTGTGTATTTGAGGTTAAGTGCTTACCAGACACGGTTAAGTGTTGTTTACCATCAGAATACTGACTGTGAATTACTTAATGATTGGCCTATATAGCACCATAGCAATTGGATGAAAGCAGTGCTGTGGTACCATTAGAAGCTTAACCAATTGATTGCTGATTTGGTCCCAAATAAGTCCCACAGGGCACCTTAAATGAAATGGATTTGACATGCATGCATCGGTTAATGAGCCACTATTGTTATACGGATGTGCAGCATTCATTTTGCTCATGCCTCAGATAATCCCTGTGTTAGTTAAGGAACTGAAAGGCTTGATGCAGATTTGTCAACATATTCTCACGTATATAAGTGAACTAACACATCTATACCAAACCACGTGATGCCAGTAGACAGATGGAAGGATATAGGGAGTATTCTGGCACTGTCTGTTTCAGCACATGGCACCAGCCCACTATAGGGAAGTCACACACTAGGATCCATGCACACTCGGATGAACATGCCAGGATGTGCTGAAGGTCCATGTCACTTTCATTTAAAGCTAAAACAAATAGTTGTTTTTGTGGTTTGTTTTTTTGACAAAAATTCCAAATATTTGCACTAAATAACTTTTGGTTTTTAACTGGCTGGATTGTTTTTGACATTTTTTAGATAAGATTCTTATGAAGAGAGCTATGACTGCAGCCATCTTCTCTCTGGCTCGTTTTAAGTAGTGATGATGTTACTAGGCCTCACTGAATTAGTAGAAGGCATATACAGTGCCTTGCGAAAGTATTCGGCCCCCTTGAACTTCGCGACCTTTTGCCACATTTCAGGCTTCAAACATAAAGATATAAAACTGTAATTTTTTGTGAAGAATCAACAACAAGTGGGACACAATCATGAAGTGGAACGAAATTTATTGGATATTTCAAACTTTTTTAACAAATAAAAAACTGAAAAATTGGGCATGCAAAATTATTCAGCCCCCTTAAGTTAATACTTGGTAGCGCCACCTTTTGCTGCGATTACAGCTGTAAGTCACTTGGGGTATGTCTCTATCAGTTTTGCACATCGAGAGACTGAAATTTTTGCCCATGCCTCCTTGCAAAACAGCTCGAGCTCAGTGAGGTTGGATGGAGAGCATTTGTGAACAGCAGTTTTCAGTTCTTTCCACAGATTCTCGAGTGGATTCAGGTCTGGACTTTGACTTGGCCATTCTAACACCTGGATATGTTTATTTGTGAACCATTCCATTGTAGATTTTGCTTTATGTTTTGGATCATTGTCTTGTTGGAAGACAAATCTCCATCCCAGTCTCAGGTCTTTTGCAGACTCCATCAGGTTTCCTTCCAGAATGGTCCTGTATTTGGCTCCATCCATCTTCCCATCAATTTTAACCATCTTCCCTGTCCCTGCTGAAGAAAAGCAGGCCCAAACCAGGATGCTGCCACCACCATGTTTGACAATGGGGATGGTGTGTTCAGGGTGATGAGCTGTGTTGCTTTTACGCCAAACATAACGTTTTGCATTGTTGCCAAAAAGTTCGATTTTGGTTTCATCTGACCAGAGCACCTTCTTCCACATGTTTGGTGCGTCTCCCAGGTGGCTTGTGGCAAACTTTAAACAACACTTTTTATGGATATCTTTAAGAAATGGCTTTCTTCTTGCCACTCTTCCATAAAGGCCAGATTTGTGCAGTATACGACTGATTGTTGTCCTATGGACAGAGTCTCCCACCTCAGCTGTAGATCTCTGCAGTTCATCCAGAGTGATCATGGGCCTCTTGGCTGCATCTCTGATCAGTCTTCTCCTTGTATGAGCTGAAAGTTTAGAGGGACGGCCAGGTCTTGGTAGATTTGCAGTGGTCTGATACTCCTTCCATTTCAATATTATCACTTGCACAGTGCTCCTTGAGATGTTTAAAGCTTGGGAAATCTTTTTGTATCCAAATCCGGCTTTAAACTTCTCCACAACAGTATCTCGGACCTGCCTGGTGTGTTCCTTGTTCTTCATGATGCTCTCTGCGCTTTAAACAGACCTCTGAGACTATCACAGTGCAGGTGCATTTATACGGAGACTTGATTACACACAGGTGGATTCTATTTATCATCATTAGTCATTTAGGTCAACATTGGATCATTCAGAGATCCTCACTGAACTTCTGGAGAGAGTTTGCTGCACTGAAAGTAAAGGGGCTGAATAATTTTGCACGCCCAATTATTCAGTTTTTTATTTGTTAAAAAAGTTTGAAATATCCAATAAATTTCGTTCCACTTCATGATTGTGTCCCACTTGTTGTTGATTCTTCACAAAAAATTACAGTTTTATATCTTTATGTTTGAAGCCTGAAATGTGGCAAAAGGTCGCAAAGTTCAAGGGGGCCGAATACTTTCGCAAGGCACTGTAAAAATTACTGCAGGTAGTGCAATGTAGGCCTAACTTCACAAAGGTTTATTAAAAGTGCAGCATTTGTGCTGTTCTCCTTACCTCTTTCTGGTCTCAATTTTACTTTTGTACTTGTCTCAGTGGGTGAGAGGAGTCTTTCAGGTGTTTGAGCACTTTTTCAAAATGTGTGACTAAGAGAAAGCTGAATAATTCAGTTTAAATTCTTCTCCCTCACCATGGGCCATACACTTCAAAAGATACAGTAGATGCCTACGGATATTAGGCTGTATTGTCTTCTTCAAATATGATCTTGTCTTCCTCTGAGCTACAACCGTCCCCTCCTTATAAACTTTAGAGAATCTCCTTTACCCAACTGGAGTGTGTGTCTGTCTGTGGGATGGGAGCTGGGGGGATAATTTGGGGAGGTGTGTGTGCGTCTTATGACTAAGCCCATCAGCTGCCATCTGGCCATGAGCAGTCTAATAATCTCAGCTTACTGCTGTCAGTGCAGTTAATGCTAACCTGTTCCTGTCATTCCACTCCACTGTAAACAAGTTGAAAAGGCAGAGCTGAAGATAAAAAGTTAAAGGGAAGGACCAACAGGAACCTGGATCCAGGAACCTGCCCCAACAGTGACTGTTGACTCTACTTCACCACCTTAATCGAACTCTTTATATGGGACCAGTCACTGGTCCAAGCCTTGTCCTCGGCTGAGAGGCTGAGGAGACGTACTTGTTCCTGGGCTCAGCGGTGCTCACTTTGGGATGGCTCCTCAAAGACGAGCTTTCCTGCCTGGCTCAGGACATGGATGCCTGCCTGTCTTGCCAGACATATGCCAAAGGGGACAGTCAACTGGTAACTATGGGCTGTGGGAGGTTTTAGCAGAGGTAACAGGTACTATGGGTCCTCAC